TTCACATCCCGGTCAATCTGTTCTATAATCTCAGAGTCCTATCAGGTAGGTGATAAATAAGATGACTAGAATGATGTTATAGCACATGATCATACCGTTATATAACTGTAAAACAGTGCAAACAGAAAAGACATGAAACACAGAGACGGGATATGACTGATCCACTGTTAAAGTAAATATAAAAAATCTAGTAAGGACAAAATCCAGTTCCATAAACGGTTGACTATTTCTCATCAAGCAATCCCTAGAAGAGAACTCATAGAGGATGATCACATAACTGAAATGTTCAAGTTCAACTAGAAAATTAAGAATTTATGAATGGCATGGTTATTCTAAAATCAGCAAACGTCATTCCATCCTCCTAAGAATTCATAAAGTATAAAAAATGTTTAATTCTTTAATTTAGGGTTGAAATCAACATAACTACTTTAGTCCAAAGTTCATCATACTGTTCAATGAAAACTTCATCCTGAGTTAAAGGATTCGGTTTAACAAATAATTAAAGTTCACAGAATTATTTAGATTAAGAGTTCAATAAAGAGTGGCCCAATAATTTTTATATAATACTTTTTCTGTGGGTATATTTATTATAACAGATTTCATAAGATTAGATCAGGGGATAAACATTTTATACACGAGTTTAGTAATAAAGGATACCTGGAAGTACTGGTTCCAGATGCTGGTTTTCCCAAGACTTAAAGGATGCTCCTCTTGACTTATTTCTGACCTTGAGAGCGGACCTTTGTTTGTTTCATCATGCTCGTAGCTTTTGGTCTTCTCCAACCTCCTGGAAATTTCTGACTGACTAGCCACAAAAACATTAAGAAAACCATGTTCGTACATACAAATAGGTAATACAAATTGCAGCGTATCCTCTTTTACTTTGTTTACTATATGGGAACAAATATAGAGAATAATATACCGATATTGATAGGATTAGGTATAAAACAACTGATATTGTCTCTATTAAAATTATTGCATAGAAGGGATAGAGATATACTATCATGTTGTATGCTAATATATAGAATGAAACTACTTTCTAAATTGGTGACTATCCATAATAAAGTAAACAAATGGAGAAGAGGTCCACAAAATACTTCATTGTCTTAAAAAATCCAATTTTCGGCAAGAAAAAATGCTATCTGGGAAAATGGGAAAGAAGAAAAATGTTTGCAATTCTCTCATATTAATTTCCAATTTGTAAACAAGAATTTTCAGTTCACAAAACTAAAAGCTATCAGCTCCATTAGATATATTTTACACCTTGCCGGGTGTACTGTAAAATGGAAAGGACAATAGAGGAGCGGCTAAGCCACAGACAATAAGATGAATCTTTCTACAAAATGTTAGAGAGCGAAATGGAGGGTGAAAGTTCCACAATATGACTTACAGGATTCATCAAAAGCTCTTCTTTAAAATGCTTGTATTGAGACCTCTTTTTAGCTAACTCAGAAGGCCAGAATCCACGATCTAGTGGCAGATAACCCAATAGGAGCTGTGATCAATCAAAGAACCATTCATAATTTATTTTGGACTCTTCACGACAAATCTAGCTAAATTTGCTTCAACAGATAATTTTGACGCACAAGAAAAACTACAAAATACATGCCTTCCAGACGGTTGAACGAATTCCTGCACCATCCGGTATGCCCTGAGACGCAATTTTACGCAGTTCACGCAGATTTATGACCTTCTTCGACAACTGCTTCGAAAAGATGAAACAATCAACAACTAAAAGGAATAATAAAAATAAACAATACAAAACATGCAGATCATCGAACGAAAAGGCAGACCTCAACAAGAAGCTGCGCCTGGCGAGATACGTCCTCGGCAGAAGGACCTGAGGGAGTGCCATTATCGTCGTTGCTGACATTGTTATTAGCCCTGGATTCTCTAGTATCAGACTTGGGAGACTCGGTTCTAATGGCGGTGCTCACAGACGGAGGAGGATTCGGAACCGGAGGTTCGACAAAAGGTTCCGGCGACGACGTGGTGGCGGCCGGCTCAGAATTGTAGCGGTGGAGGCGATCGTCGTCAACGGAAGGAGTGGAGGACCAGAGAGAGCTATTCAGCCAATCCGGCACACGTTTCTTCACCATTTTTGATGTTGCGAACGAATTCAAAACAAAATTACTGCAACAAATTGAGATGAAACTGAGCGATTGCTATTGTTCTCAACCTCTCGCTTCGATTGCTAGGGTTCCGATCTCAGTTTCCTCCATTCTTTCCCTTTTCCGATTTAATTATTCGTAAACATTTTCTCCTCGAGTTTGCCGTTGCCTCTCTGAAAGGGGGACACTCTGTGGACGAAAGTGGGAGAAGGTTGGAAACGCTTTAGTCACCGAGGCCTACAGGAAGTTCCGTGACCGTCAAATAACAAAACGCCACGTTTTAATGCGAAAAGTATGGAACTTATCACAACTGGATTTAATGGAACTGTAAATTTCAATTTCTTTCCTTAAAAATTTTATTTTTTAATTTTATTTTTTAAAGATAATTTAATATACTTTTTCCAAACCATTTTAATTTTTTTTTTAAAGAAGGTTATATTAAAAGCACTTTATCATATTTAAAATCACTACAAAAAAAATACATTTTTAATTATCTAAAATTAATTTTATGAAATTAAACATTAATTTATTTTTTAAATAGTAAAATTTTTAATATTATTTTAAAATACATCCCCAATTATTCAAAATTATAAAAGGCATATTCCAAATAATTTTAATTTTATAAAAGTATTTTAACCCTTTTAAAATCCCTTAAAAATATGTCCCTATATATCTTCATTTTTATTTGTGAAATATTGTCATATTATCTCTAAATTTTGTTAAATAAAATTTCTTCCCATAAAGCATAATTCAAAATCCAAAAGATATATTTGAAGTTTTTTAAAATTTTAAAAATTAAATAAATAAAAACGCATATTTTTAAAAAAAAATGCGTTAATTTACAACTTTTATCCCTATAATTTGAATAAAAAATAGAATTTCGTGTATATAGTCTAATAAAACGTCATAAATATGAGAATTTTATCAAATCATATATAGATCAGACCCATTTAGAATCCGAAAGGAGGGGGACAAATTTTATAATTTAACATAAAAATGTATATTAATTTTAATAAATAAATTGAAGACTTTTAGTCTATTATGAGTCCAATAATTACATTTCTCCAAAGCAAAGGCAGGGTGAAGCAAGAACAGTGCAATTATGTCTTATTAATATCTCTATTAATTTTCTTTGTTAATTTATTGATATATTATAAAAGGTTGGAAAAAATCTAAATAATTATTTATTTATTTATCTGGCTAATAGTTGTAAAGCAGAAAAAAAGAATGAAAGAGAAAAATAATTAATCGGTCTAACGTGGAGGGAATTATGAAAACGTTTTACCATCTTTTTAATGTTTTCAGTATAATTTTTTAAATAAAAGCTTTAATAATTATAGCATTTCATATTATAAAATTATTTCTCATTTTTTATTAAAAAAATTAAAAATTCACTTCAAACATTTTTTAAATACATTTATAGAATAATCCTGAAATATTCAAAAAAGTAATATTAAAAAGTTTGAAGACACGGAAATAGACGATTTTTTTAATAGAGGTAAAAGTTGTTAATGCTATTTTTTTTTTTTTTTATAAAGATATTACTCATACTAACAATATTATTTTAATAAAAAAAAATAAATTTTAAAAATATTTGTTAAACATAATTAATATTTTACCTTAGGTAGAGTTGAGAGTTGAGGAGCAATGATCTTTGCTTCGGTGAAGCATAATTGGGCCACTTAAGCCCAAAATGCTCAGGCCCAAGAACGGCCCACGATCCTTGACTAAGTTCCTTTGCCGTTTCGATCTCCGAAATGGACAGAATTTGAATCGTCCCGAAGCCCTAACCAATGAACTCGAAAAAACTGAATCGAAATTCGAAATGCGAAATAGATTTCGCTCGATTACCGTATTGATTCCGCTACAGCTCCAAATGCAGGAAGAGATTCGATATCCAACCGTGCATAATCAAATCGTCCCGCTCGAATGCACCAAGTTCGCCCTAAAATCTCCAAATTCATCAATCAATCAATCAATCAATCATCAACTAAGCCCTAACCAATGAATTCGAAAAAACTGAGTGAAAGTTCAAAATGCGAAATCGATTTTGCTCGATTACCGTATCGATTCAGTCACAGCTCCAAATGCGGGAAGAGATTCGATATCCAACCTCCGTGCATAATCGAATCGTCTTCTTTGTTCTCTGCCTGTGAAGGAAGAGCTCTAATGCTTTTGATTTCCGAGAGGCTTTCGAGGAGGGAAGAAGGTGGAGGATCGTTGACGCTGATTCGTTGTTTACATAGTAGCTTGATCTTAGCCTTTCCTGCTTCCATAAGAATTCTTTTAAATATTATTTTAAAAAGTTAATGAAGTTTAAAGATGATAAAAATAATTATAATTTTAAAAAGGTTTAAATGATGAAAGTATTATACTATATTTTTTTAAACAAAGTATTAAAAATTTTTAATCCAAAAGTAGTCATAAATATATTTTTAAATTTTTATTTTTGAAAGTTGTGAAGTATTTTAAATATTTGTTTAAAAGTATTATTAAAATCTTTTAAAATTTAGGATATTTTTAAACAAAGTGAAAATTACAATTATATCCTTAGAATTTTAAAAGAATTATAAATATGAGACATCATTTATAAAAGAATTATTTATATAAAAATAAATGATATAAATGATTTTATCGAGATGAAATAAATAGTAAAATGATCCTAATGTTTGTGAATATGTATGATTTATTTTAAAGAATAAATAATTTAAATCTGGATAAATACAACACTACCGACCAAACTTGTGACCTAATTTTTTAAAAAGAAATATTTAAATTAAAACTTTATTCCTCGGTCATTTTAAAATTAAAAAAAAAATTGAAATAATAATATTATATTTTTTGAATTAAAAAAAATCAATAATACAATTAACTTTCCGTCTGAGCAATCCTTTACTAAGCTCTTTGTTTTTCGTTTCCTTTTAGAGAGAGAAAGAGAAGCGAAAGAGCACTGGTCTCTTCCACTTCTTCAAACCCTAGAAACCTCTCCTCCCATTTTTCTTCATCAAACCCTACTGTTCTTCCCTCCTTTTCCTCCATTTTTCACTTTGCTGCTCGCTTATGCATATGAAATCATCTGATTTTCCTTCCTGAAAACCCCTAATTCTCCCTTTCTTCTTGGGAGGGTGGGGTCCCTCCATCAGTTGGTTGAATTTGAATTTGAATTTGAATTTACGAGCTGTGATTCGTTGAAGATATGTATAGGGATCGAGGAGGCGGAGGGGGGATTGGTGGTTCGTCGAAATCGGAGATCGATCGGAAGCGCATCAACGATGCTCTCGATAAGCATCTGGAGAAGACTTCTCCGTCTACTTCTAGAGGTCTTCATAGTAAGGAGAAGGAGAGGCTCTCTGTACCCTCCACTTCGACTGGTAAATCACAGCTCGATCATCGTTCCGTGCCTCTACCCAAGAATAAATGCTCCGATGGTTAGTGTTGGTTTTGTTCCTCCTCAGTTTCGAGTTTTTTTTTTTTTTTTTTTTTTTTTTTTTTTTTTTTTTTTTTTTTTTTTTTTTTTTTTTTTTTTTTTTTTTTTTTTTTTTTTTTTTTTGCTTATAAAGAGGATCTGGATCATTCGATGTCTCCGTTTCGCGTTTTGAAAACTGTACATAAAAATGAACTGAACTGGAAATGCATTTTTGCGTAATGAACGTTCTTATTTTTTACTTTTGTTATTAGAGTGTTATCCTATGATAGAGTGGTGCTTGGCTTTTATGGCAACATTATTTTGTCGGGAGATCTTAATTGCGATTGTTTATCTTCTTCTTCGTCACCTTTTTATTTCTTGTAGAGTTTGTTGTATCTAACAAGTTTCCGATCATAGCAGAGGAATCTGAAACAGACAGCGAAGAGTCAGATGTCAGTGGCTCAGACGGAGATGATACATCATGGATTTCTTGGTTTTGCAATTTGAGGGGAAATGAATTCTTTTGTGAAGTTGATGACGAGTACATACAAGATGATTTCAATCTTTGTGGCTTGAGCAGTCAAGTTCCGTACTACGACTATGCACTTGATCTTATTTTGGATGTTGAATCTTCTCATGGTGAGACTATCATGTCCCGCGCTTAATTTTTTTTTTTTTTTTTTTTGTGTGTGTTTCAATGAATGTATAAAGCTTGCTCCCATAAGCTTTTTGAATTCTATAATATCATTGGAAGTTCAATTTTGTGTGTGAATTTGCTGCTGCGCTATAATAGCATTTCATAAGAATGTTGTTTGCGTTCGAATCTATTCTAGGTTGTACAATTGTGCCTTTTGAGTTCTAAGAATTTTGAATATGATAGGTAGCTTTGGTTGAGTTTTCCATGAATAAGATGGTTGGAAGATATCACAATCCTCCATTGTTAGAAAGTTATAGAGTTTTTTTATGAGCATATCTTTTACTAACTGATTGATTTTGGAATGTTAGTGAAAGTTTTACTCTTTTCGTTATGTTTCCCGCTTATTTCAGTAGTGAAAATTAACATGTGCCTTGCAGTGAGAAAATTTTAGTGTGCACTGTTTATACTGTAAAAAGGGGCTTAAGGACATATGTATTTAATTCCACACTTTAATCAGCCCCTTCTTACTTCTCATTCCTGCTTTGGAAGAACGATACTACTACATAGTTCATACTTCCTTTCTTCGTTCTTTCGTGCTCGTCCATGTTTTTAATGTGATGTTTTTGGCCTATTTTCTGTGTCTGGCCTGTGCAGGTGACATGTTCACTGAAGAACAGAATGAATTAGTTGAGTCGGCTGCTGAGATGCTGTATGGTCTTATTCATGTCAGATACATCCTAACTGGCAAAGGAATATCTGCAATGGTAATTTCCTATACATGTTTCTTTAACTACTTATTTCTCCCCTATGTTTAACTAATTAGAAAAATAAAGCTAGAGAAGTTTAAAAACTATGACTTTGGGAGGTGCCCAAGAGTGTACTGCTGTGGACAACCATGCCTTCCAGTTGGGCAGTCAGATATTCCTCGTTCAAGCACAGTAAAGATATACTGCCCAAAGTGTGAAGACATATATTACCCTCGTTCAAAATATCAAGGCAGTATCCTTTTTATAATCTATCATGTCTTGTTCTTCTGCTTCGTTTTTCCCTTCCTCTTGTAACTTTATTTTCATATATAATTATTTTGATTCTTTGCTGCACGTCTATATGCTTTTGTTGTTGAATTCAAAGTGAAGCATGACCTAATTTTTTTATTTTATGTGATTGATTTTTGCTGTGGTTTATTTGTGTCAAGAGCATGTTTACTTTCATAATTTTTTTTGTAATGTTAATGTCTTTCCTATTGCAAATGAAGATGATATTTGTTTACACTATTCTTCCAGTGATTTCTTTCCATGCGGTTCTTTTTTGTGATCACAAACTGAGTTTGTATTTTGAGAACAAATGAGCCACAATTATGACAGATTGTTGTGATCAACTGTCAATGCAGTTCAACAAGATGCATCAATGCATTGATAATCATTTGTCGATGATATGCAGAAAGTTAGTTAATATCTGTCTTTGTTGAAGTTAGCTGTCTGTAAGTTCTAAGAATTCCAAAGCAGTACTGGAGAACCATTGCAAAGGAGGTCCTCCCTTACCGCAAGATTATGGTCACTACATTCTCAATTGATTCATCCATGAAAGATGCTTGATCATGCTTGGTTCTGTAATCTCATGAAAACACATGCTTTGTGATAAATAGATAAACAACGCCAATTTGCATTCTTCTTTTGTTTGTTGAGGGCTATGGTAAATCTGTAGCCAGTCTCAGATTCTCACTAAGTCTTACATTTCTCGATATTAAGAGAACAAGGGTGGGTTCTGGAATGACTTTCGGCTGGTGACCCTTGCCTTTAGCTAAATAAAAACACTTATTATTATTATCTGTGTCTTTAGCAAGAAAATCAAAAGTGATCTTGGAAATTCTGTAAACACATGAAGTGCTTCTAGGATAATCACATAATTAGTGTACCTATCAAAAGTAATGATAGAAGAAGAGAATTGCTTGCACCAGAATGCACATTTTTCTCCAAAGTCACCCCCTTCCCTGATATGTGATGATAAGTTAGAGTTGTCATTTTGGGTATTCATTCGCTTTCAAAGTGGGATGGGAATGGATTTGTTACTCAATCTTTGGCATCTCTATTTTGGTAATGGTCCTGAAATTATGGTTGGTGCTCTCCAGAAAATTTTGGTGACTTGAGTTCCCTTTTTTCTCTTTGCTATTGAATGCTCTTGCTAAACGTCTTTTTATGAACCATTCGTGCAATTTTTATTGCATGGTTGATGAACTGTTGATGTACACATGTAGTTTCTTGTGTTCTTCAAGATTTCCTTCACCTGGCCTAAGATATTGATGGAGCATATTTCGGAACCACATTCCCGCACTTGTTCTTGATGACATACGGTCACCTCAAGCCACAAAAAGCAACACAGAGCTATGTTCCCAGAGTTTTTGGCTTCAAGCTTCACAAACCATGATTGAGTTGGAGAGCATCATCATCTTGGGTTGAGATCTTCAATATTCATCCATGCAAATGCGCTGCCCGGTGCAATACTTCTAATAAACGACGCTGCCGATATGTGCTTACTCATAGTTCTTCCAACGGTCAAGGTAAAAGCAGTTGTTCAGAAAGTATTAAAATGATTATTAAACAAAAATGTTCGCAATGCAAAATTGTCATAGTAGTAGAACATGCCTTATTTTCTTCTTATTATTGTCATTTCATGAAAATAAATAGTGTTTGTAAGTTTATTTCTTCTTTATGGGTTGTTAATCAAATTACTTGCTGTTATTCCTTCCAGTCCTTGTACTTGATTCTTTTTCCTTGATACACCTTAGTTTTAAGCCCCCCTTGCCACCATCTCTGAGTAGTTGTAATAAGAATTCATCTCTTACTTGTTGTAGACTGTTTAGGGTATGATTTGGTTCATGATTTTAGGAAATTTTTGCTTCTGATGTTCTTCTGCATTCAAATTTTGAGTTTATGTTATGAGTTGCTTATGTTTTTTGTTTTTGAAATGTGATTGATTCATGGTATTGTTAGATAATGTGATTGAATTACTCAAGTATTGTTAAATATCAATTTCTTTGGGGGCATTTGAGGATTATAATTATGAAACTCTCCCCCCGTACACCCCCGCGCACTCACCCCGCACGCCCCCGCACGCCCCCCTCCTGAACAAAAGATATTGATATTAAACAATACTTGATTGATTAAACATGTATTATATTAAGCATCTTTAGAAGCGAATTGGTTATATGCTTTCTGAAACAGTATTATTTGCTTGATTATTGAAATGTTTAAAAGTAGCTTTTAATTGGTCAAAATCACTTTTTATTACGTTTTCAAAGCTTAATTAAATGCTATTTTAAAATATACTTCTAGTAATACTTTTAGTAACTGATAATATTTAGTTAAAAACAATGTATTATTGAAAGTGTTCAAATAGTTTGTATGATAGAGGTAAAAAAGAAATTGTAAGTGCTTTCTAGTGAAGCATTTGATTAAAAGAGGATCTTCGGGAATGTAGTTAGGAAAACACGATTATTTTAGGTGACTCTTTGAGCATTAACTTTTCGAATTGGAGCTCGATTCCATTGTCATCTGATCTAATTGCTCTATAGCTCAGATTGCTCTATAGCTTGACTTTTGAGTAGGTGTCAGCTTTAAAAAGACCCATTGGAGGCAAATATATAATTTAAGATTTGGAAAAAAAAAAAAAAACTTTGGGTAGGCATTCTAGAATGAGCACATGGTTCAGAAAATTGAATGGATTAATTACTATGAATTGGAGCTCGATTGTGAATGTACAGGCAGTTGTGAATGAAACGACGACAAAGAACAATAATGAGATGTATGTATAAAATATAATAATGAGATGAATGTCTATAGAGATTGGAATGTATATAGCGATTGAAATAAATTAAGCGACAATTACAAACTATATAGATGAATGATGGTGAGAACGAATAATGTACAATATTAAAGTATTAATCAATTTTGATCGAAAAATAATTATAACCAACTAGAAATTGGAAATGGAATAATAATTTTCTTTTTTTCTTTTTTATGTTGATAACAAAAGACGAAAAAGGGCTAAATAATTCTTTTGTGTATTAAAATAAAAGCAAAAAAAAAAAAAAAAATGAAAGCTCTGATTGCGTTTATTTAACCATTAGAATTCATCAGACGGCTGTGATCGACCCAGATCACATTCAACGCTATATTCATCACTGCTATAAATCTTTATGCACCAGCCGGGAATCGAACCCGGGTCTGTACCGTGGCAGGGTACTATTCTACCACTAGACCACTGGTGCTTGTTGACATTTTCTTTTATTTATTATTTTATTAAACTACTTTTACTTTATCTCAAATCCCCCAAACTCTAAGTTTTAAAGATAAACTTTCAAATAAGTCTAAAAAAACTTATCAATGGAGCCCTACATTTGGAAGGGGTGCATAGTGTTTACTTCAATGGACCCCGACATTGGGTTGGACTAAATGATAATAATGAAGTCATTTATGGTTCGGATATAGAATATGAGACCATTATTACTTAAGATCATGTGTGGAACTCGTCAAAGTTGTAAAGATGGGAAGATCTTGTGTCCCCAAGACTGCGTCCTCTCAAAAGGGGTTGTCTCGTAGTGTCAGCTTATAGTACCAAACATTTTTTGTTTCGTAACATTGAATCCTTCACTTTTAATTCTCTCCCTACGATAAATCATCAATGTCTGTGTGTCTACTTTTTTTTGTTTGTACCTATTAATTATTGAATAGTTATGTAAACCCCAAACTCCCTAACCCATTTATGGGAGCAACGAATAGGGTGAAGAAGCCAATCATAAAGCAACTTTGACATTTTTATGTTTTTCTCTATTTAAAACGTTTCATGTCTTTCCTTTTAAAAGGGGTACCTGAACATGATTTCACTTAAGTGTCTTTTAGTATATTTTAAATTACATGTTAGGTGACGTCTTTGACCAATACGTGTGCAAAAAGTCAAGTCATTTCAATTTGCAAATGACACACGCAAGAATTAAACATAAAAAAAAAAAAAAAACATAAAGAGGTGAGCAACGTTGAATAAGAACCACGAACAACGATTAATCAGAGACATAAAAATATGTAGTACTACAATGTTAGAATGTTAATATTTGTATGACAACCATAAATTAATTTCCGAACCATTATTAATTAAATAGATTATATAACTGATTAGAAGATGGAAATAGAGTAATAATTTACAAAAAAAAAAAAAAGTTAAAATGGAATAATCGTTTTTGTGTATTAAAAAAAAATAAAAAAAAGGCGAGCTCTGATTGCGCTAACAATTTCGTCAGAAAGATCAGACGGTTGTGATCGACCCGGATCACAAGTCAACGCTAGGATTCTTCATCGCTCAGCCACTACTTATATTGCACCAGCCGGGAATCGAACCCGGGTCTGTACCGTGGCAGGGTACTATTCTACCACTAGACCACTGGTGCTTGGTGTTTTATTTGACATGATTAAATTTATATTTATTATTAAAACACTTTTAACCTTATGAATTTTGTAGTAAATAATTTGAATTAAGAATTATCCTTTTAGTTTTTCTTAAAATTCTTTAAAATATTAGGAAGCATTCTATCTATTTAGCCTTTTAATTTTAAACCCGAAAAATTATTAATTTTTAATAAAGTAATATAATAATTGACTATTTTTTAAAAGAAAATTAAAAATATGGTGATTATTTAATAACACCCTAAGGAATAGTCTACATAACCAACCTCAAATACTTAATTATTAATCAAGGTAATATATATTAAAACTCTATTTAAAATAAGAAATTACAATTAACAAAAAAAAAAAAAAAACAATAATAATAAATAAATAAATAAAATGATTTTTTTTTTTTTTTAAATAAGTGTATTGTTTTTTTTAGTTTGGTAACAATTTATTTATATATTTTAGTATATAACAATTCACTAAAATGAAAACCCGCCTAGAAAAACAGAGAAAGCTAAGAGGAGATGAAGGTGAACTTCAACCGAGAGTCCCCTACTTTTCTCGAAGCCATCCATTTAAATAAAGTTGTCACATACCCTAACAATTTTCTCCCATCCCACAACACGGTGAGTTAGAAATGCTTCCTAATATGACTGTACATGGTTTTTTATTTGGCAAAACAATTGTTAGGAGCTTCAGGGGTCGTTTCCGCTAACATGATTTTACCTCAAATTTAAGATTAGTATAATTTTTTTAAATAATTAACTTAATTTTGTTTTATAACGGGCGTATTCAATAAATTTAGTCATTTAATTTTAAACCAAAAATTAATAAAATTTAAAAAGCATAAAACATAATGTAATAGTTGACTGTTTTTTTGAACCGTTGGAATTTGTTTAACCCTTCATAACTATTTAAAATTATAAATATATAATAATTAAAACATATGTAAATATTATTTAAAAAGAAAAAAATGATGATTATTTAATAACACCCTAAGGAATATTCTACATAACGAACATTAAATACTTAATTATTAAATAGGTAAGAGAGACACCAAGTTGTCAATATAAATATATAAAAATAAGAAATTAAAATAAATAAATAAAAAGTAGGTTAAAAAAATAATTATTTTCCCTATACTTTTATCCAAACCAAAATTTAATATTTAAACTTCAATTTTAGTAAAATTTAATTTTTATGTAACAAATTATTTTTTATAAGTTTTAATATATAAGAATTTAATATTTATCACGTGAAATTACGTGGTTATTGAATATTAAATTTTGTTATATAATGATTATGGTTTTTTAAGTTATATGCATACGTATTTGAAATTAGTTGTCGACAAAATTTAATATTTTAGTATGGAAATTCTGTTATCATATTTTAAAAAAATATATTATTATTTAAAAGGAGTTTATTTATCCATAAATTTTAAATTTATATTTATTCAAATTAATAATTGAGTCAGACCTACCAAAATTTAAATTTAAAATTTAAAATTTAAAATTTAAAATTTAAAATTAATATATCAATTAGTTTTTTTAAAAATAAAATTAATGTTATTTAACGATGATTCCATTGATTATATCCGTGGGAGTAACTAAAAACAACGTAAAGAAACAGAAGTATTTAAGTAATTTTGTACAAAGAGGGGGGTATTTTGGTAATTTAGGTGGTTCCATTTCCCTAGCAGAGTTGCTTATTTGGGGTTAGGAATCCATAAATTCTACGCGCACACCGCTCCTTCTCTCTCCTCCGTTCCTCACTCAACGAGTTTTCTCGAACCACATTCATCGAGTTTTCTCCGCTGAATTCGAAGATTTTAACGCCAAACCATTAGCTTCTCACAAGAACAAGGAACAAGAAGAACGATTTGAAGTTTGAAGATTGAAAGAATTTACCAGGGGAGAATTTGATTTTCTTTTTGTTCGTTTCCATTTCGAATCTTGTTTGTTTTCTTCTTCAATTCGGTATATTTCTTATGTAATGCATCAGAAGAAATCGGAAGTTCAGATCGGAAAAGAAAGCAGCGGCGTCTCTTCCGATTTCAATCCGTCCCCTCCCCTGTTTTTCCCATCTTCAATCTCAATTCATCAGAAACATCCACCGCCGCATTCTCATAATCATCAATCTCAGCGATCTTTTCTTTCTTTTACCACTCCTCAAATTTTGATCGAAACTCCTGCTCATCATGACCCGATTGTGCCATCGCCGTCGTCTTCTTCTTCTACTGCGCCTTATAAGAGACCTCTCTTGACTCATAATCACTCTTCCCTCTCTAAATCCCCTTCTCTGTATCGTCTTCCTTCCGCCCCTCAATTCAATTCCGTCAATCCCTCTTTCTTTTCTGTCTCTTTGGCCGTCCGGAGTACCGTTTTCCGTTTGCTCCGGCGGCTCAAGCAGCTTCGTCGTCTCCGCGTCCATTTGCGGTTGATTCTTTTGTTTTCTCTTCCGTTTTTCTATTTCTTAGTTTCTCATCCAACCCATTCTTTTTTCCTCGATTTCCTCTCGGCTTTTGCTTTCTCTGCTGCCCTTTTGTTTTCTCTTAATCTCGCCCTTCCTCGCCTTCCTTCAATACGTTTGTTTCTCGCCCGTTCTTTCCCTGTGAAGCTCATTTCGTCGTCTTCGTCATCGAGAACGCATCTCCCGGTTTTGTGGTCAATTGGGTCTCGATCAAAATCGGAGAAGAGGCTGAATTCAGGTTGTTGGGTTCAGGTCTACAGCGATGGCGACGTTTATGAGGGCGAGTTTCATAAGGGGAAGTGTTCAGGGAGTGGTGTTTATTACTACTATATGAGTGGTAGATATGAAGGAGATTGGGTTGATGGGAAGTATGATGGATATGGAGTTGAGACATGGGCTAGAGGAAGCCGGTACCGTGGGCAGTACCGGCAGGGCCTCCGGCACGGTTTCGGGATGTACAGGTTTTACACTGGAGACGTTTATGCTGGAGAATGGTCCAATGGGCAGAGCCATGGATGTGGAGTTCATACCTGCGACGATGGAAGCAGATTCGTCGGGGAATTCAAATGGGGTCTCAAACATGGACTTGGCCATTACCATTTCAGGTAGTTAATATGTTTGCTTGAAGGTTTCTGGGACTTGGCATCCAAATTATGCATTGCTGTTTTTACCAGTTTCTGTTGCCTTTCATAACTGTTCATCAAATTATGCATTAGTATTTGAATGGGTTCTATGAGATAGTTGGTATCACTTGAATGAGTTCTATGAATCTTGGATCTTGGAGGTTATCTCCCATTATTGAAGCCCCTATCATCTGACCAAGAGCATTGTCTTGGCTTTCTTTTCACCAAGAACACCTTGTTCCCTGCTATATTTAGGCTTTGAATGTTCGTTATTTTTAAGATGAAGTTAAGTACTCTGAGGAACCAACCCAAGAAAGGGCAACCCAAGAAAGGGCAAAAAGACAGAAGAAGGGACCTTGGTTTGATTGTGTGAGATCCCACATTGGTTGTAGAGGGAAATGAAGCATTCTTTATAAGGGTTTTGTAAGGGTGTGAAAACCTCTCCCTAGTAGACACGTTTTATAAATCTTGAGAGGAAACCTGAAAGGGAAAGTCCAAAGAGGACAATGTATGCTAACGGTGGTGGGCTTGGGTTGTTATAGTTAGTATCAGAGCCAGATACAGGCTGTGTGCTAGCAAGGATGCTAAGCCCCAAAAGGGGGTGGACATCAGGCGGTGTGCCAACGATGACGTTGGGCCCCTGAGAGAGGGGTGGGTTGTGAGATCACATCGGTTGGAGAGGGGAACGAAGTATTCTTTTTAAGGGTGTAGAAATCTCTCTCTAACACACTGTTTTAAAAACCTTCGGGAAGATTGAAAGGAAAAACTAAAAGAGAACAATATTTGTTAGTTGTGGACTTGGGTTATTATAAATTTACTTAGGCTTTATACCTATAAGCCTTGAGGTAGCGGGCAACTGAATTGATAAGGATGTGAAACAGCTCTATAGGGAATTTGGATATAGTTAAACTGTTTAAGCTCTAGCATTGTTCAATTATTGAAACATTTTTGATATACTGAGATATTTTAGGACAATTGTTCTTCGACTAAGAACGGAGAAAATGTTCCTCCATGTGCTTCATTGGAATTTGAGCTTACGAGCTTCATGTCCTATACGATATTTCGAGGCAAATGTGTAAATCTGGAGCAGTTTTCTTTTTATATAATCTACATGTTATCTGATCTACCTGTTCATATTGATATTTAGAAACGGGGACACATATGCTGGTGAATATTTTACGGACAAAATGCATGGATTTGGGGTTTACCAATTTGCTAATAATGGACACCGATATGAGGGTGCTTGGCATGAAGGCAGAAGGCAAGGACTTGGAATGTATACATATAGAAACGGAGAAACCCAATCCGGTCACTGGCAGAACGGAGTTCTCGACATTCCGAGCACTCAGAGCTCTACTTATCCAGTATCCCCTGTCGCAGTTTACCATTCCAAAGTACTGAATGTAGTGCAGGTACAAATCCCTCGTTCCTACGCGAATCGTTGTGGTTGCAGAGTACTTTTCGTGTCATTCAGAGTTCGAGATGGTTTTCTGATTGGTCTTTGTACAGGAAGCAAGACGAGCAGCTGACAAAGCCTACAGCGTCGGGAAAGTGGACGAAAGGGTGAACAGGGCAGTAGCAGCGGCGAATAGAGCAGCGAACGCAGCTAGAGTAGCAGCCATCAAAGCAGTCCAAAAGCAAATGCAACGGACCAAGAACACCAACGACAATACTACTCAAGTCTGAATGTCTGCAGCAGCAGTTCATCAGTCAATAACACCTCGTACACTAAGGTTTGTTTGATTCCTGTTCGGTTCTTTTCTTTAGCTCATGTGTGTTCATATGAGCTGAAATAGCTAGGATGGCTCTGCATTAACATTGTCTAATGAGGGGGGAAAGGGATTGAGAGAGAGAGAGAGATAAAGTATATGCATATGTTAAAACTAATTTTACACTTTTGTTCCATTTTTGTAAAGAGGTAAGATGATGAGAATGAAATTTTGTGGCTGGAAGTGGATGATGGTCTCATCCCCAAAGCCATGTTGTATTTGATGCAATGAAATTCATGCACGTTTTTGTTTTTGTTTACGAATCACTCAATTTGAGTATAGTTCAACGAGTTAAAAGGTATATAAATTTACATATGAGGTATAGATACTGCACCTACCTGAATTAACTCAATGGGTTAAGGACGACTTACAAATTTATACATGACATATGGATGTAGCGGCAATCTAAATATAACTCAATCGGTAAAGACGATATATATGCAACGGCCTAAGCTTACTGCTAGCATATTTTATCTTCCTTTTTTATAAGTGTGTTTAAATCTTGTTGGATGATGAAAGTCCCACATCGGTTAATTTAGGGAATGGTCATGGGTTTATAATCTAAGAATACACTCTCCATTGGTATGAGGCCTTTTGGGAAGCCCAAAGCAAAGCCATGAGAGCTTATGCTCAAAGTGGACAATATCATACCATTGTGGAGAGTTGTGTTCGTCTAACAAATCTCTCTAGTAATGGTGGGCTTGATTTGTCAAAGCGGACAATATCTACTAGCGGTGAACTTCAATTATTACACTATATCTCTAACCTCGGTAGTCGGTAGGTTAGAGTAACCTAGTAATCGGGTAAGAAGAAGAAGAAAGAAGAAATTTTTACCCATAAATATGGTAAGTAATATCAATTATTAACTTTTAACTTATGTCGTGTTGATTATCCGATGATTTTTAGTATTGAGATCAACCATCGTTGCAGTTCGTTCAGGTCTTCTTGCTACTACTTCTAAGAGCTCGATGTTTTGTGTTCAAGCTAAGAGTTTTAATATTAAGCAATTTTTTTTTTTTTTTTTTTTGTTTGTTACTGCATGATACGGGGTTGCCTCTCATTTACAATTGCTCGAGTTATAGAAATTGTAAGTCGTTATTGGATAATATTGCTGCTCGTATTACTAGCTGATGAGCTCGATCTCTATTTTTATATTGAGAGATTGCAACTTATACGATATTTACTCCTAATTCTTACGAATTTATGCCAAAAACTTATTTATAACTCATTAAACGAATCTTCTAACCTTTTTTAACCACGGTAAAAATTACGAACTATTAAAATTTAAGATTTAAGGTAAGAAGGTAAAAATAAAGCAGGGGAAAAAGTATCCAATCTTGAGATAAAAAATACGGGGATTAAAATAAAGTATGGGCCTATTGGGCCTACTGGGCTTTCCTATAGCAGCCCTAAAGCAGTCGAATGGCAAATTTTGAGTTCCATTAGCCACTCGTATAAAACCAAAAAGCCGCCACGGCCTTTGTCCAGCCGCGCAGGGAAGTGCCGAAGATTTCTAGGGTGTCTGATCTCTCCTGCTAGTTCGCCAAAATGGTAATCCAAATTCCCATCGCCTATTGTTCGTTAATTTTTATCTTCATGTTTTTGGAGCTTAGGAATCCTTTGAGATTATTTTGTGTATTTCATAGACGATTTGATTGGATATTTGGTGATAACGCCTCTTGGGCTTTTAACAATGATCTGTGTTAAGCGATCAAGTTCTTGTTGGTTTGTTTGTTTCGAGAGAAATTTGAAGGGACTAGATTGATGTAGGATTTCCTGAATGTTGTTGATCAGTTTTCTTAATAAGTTCATTATCCTTGTCTAGAGGTTTATGTCTGGCAATATTTTGATATTCAGGACATGAAAGATGAAGGTTAGGCTAGCAGGACATTGTTTCTATTGATTTAGCACCTAGAAGGCATATGCAAGTGCTGTAGTAAATTCACCAAGATTAATCCTGTTCTACATTTTGGATTTTTACGGACTTTTATATTGTAGTATAATTCAAACTAATGGCAACAATGTTTTCAATTCATTTAGTTATGCTGGATGTTAGGTAGGGAAGGTTAATGCGCTATATATGCTGAATGTCGAATCTTTCATTTGGACTTCGCTCGTTCTCCTTTTGAACCAGATACCAGAGTTTGTGTTAGTAGTGTTGTTTAGCTATCCAAGGCGTTGACGCAATATTTATTCCTAATAGCTTATTCGATTATTAATAATTTTTTATGTCGTGAACTCATAAATCAGACTTCTGAAATCTTGCCATAGAATTCTGTTCACCCTTTTTATTTATTCTCCTTTTTCTTCTTGATGGTTGGATCTGTAACTTTCTCATTACCTTTTATGATGTTGTGTAGACAAAGAGAACCAAGAAGGCTGGCATCGTTGGCAAGTATGGTATGTGATTCTATCATTCTTATTCCCAAGATACGATTGAACTAGAAATGTTGGGAAAGGGAATATGTATAGGATTCTGATTCTCATAAAAAAGGATTTTGTATAGGATTTTTTGGAATTTTGTCAGATTTTGATAGATAAGAATATTATGATGGTTGCATTGATAGAGAGATACTCTTCACTGGCCTGGAATTTACATTAGTTGATCAAGCATTTTTCTTGTTTGCTAGATGACAACCCTCCCCTTTCTTTGTCTTACTCTTAATTTTATATATAACATATTAAAAATGGTTTCTTGATGATTACAGGCACTCGTTATGGTGCTAGTTTGAGGAAGCAAATTAAGAAGATGGAAGTAAGTCAGCACAGCAAGTACTTCTGTGAGTTTTGTGGGAAGGTACAACATTGTTTAAAACGCTCGTTTTGGCGTCCTTGTGAACGTTTATTTGAATCTATAAATGTGAAACATTTGAGTAATATACGATGTGTCCTTTCAGTATGCGGTGAAGAGGAAGGCTGTGGGAATATGGGGTTGCAAAGATTGCGGTAAAGTGAAAGCAGGAGGGGCTTACACGTTGAAGTAAGGATGTTTGAGATTGCTCTCCTTGTATGTCTTTTTTAATCCAAAAGTTGTTTCAATGTTTTAATCCCCAATATGTTGTTCGTTAATGACAGTACTGCAAGTGCCGTGACTGTGAGGAGTACCATAAGAAGGTTGAGGGAGCAGACAGAAAGCTAGATGAACTACCAGATTTATCATTTCTATCAATTGACGAGGAGGCATGGAGTAATTTTGTTGAGGTTTAGTCTCTTTAATTTCGTATATTTTTCCCGAATTTTAACGAAAGTTCTGAAGTTAAATCAAGCTTGTTGAATCTAGTTTTGACGATATTTATTTTAGAATTTGAATTTTAGTTTAGCATTATGAGCCTACCTAGATGTCTATTCTCTATTTATTATTTATGTTGGATGGATAGTTTAGTAGTGTAGCCATGTCTACCAAGATGTTTCATTTCCTCCGCCGTTAATCGGCTGTGGTAGAGAAGAAACTCATGGGAAGTTTGATGACAACCTCAGTCTTTCCATGGAGGAGCTATCAACAACACCACCGCCGCCACCGTGAAACTTGAGTTTAAGCAGGCGGCGTAAGCGGTGCGGTTTGATCAAGAAGTCGCCTGATTCGAATCCGATGGTGGGTTTTGATCATTCCAATTGGGTTGGGACACAAATCCAAGAAATGGTTTTTTTTTTCCCTTTTTTCATCATTTTGCATGGGATGAGCTTAAACCTCTCGTTTGAGACTGACGAACCAAAATGAACAATATTTGCTTGCGATGACAGATTATTCATATACTTTTTCCACTTAATTTTAGTTTTTGATTCACGGTCGGTCTTCCGCCTCTATCTAGGTTATCCTTTACATTATTGGTAAGCTATATGCTCATGGTGACAATTTTTTTCTGTTTTAGGGCATGGATAATGTTTCACTTGATCTTAAGAAAGGCAGCATGCTGCATATGTCAATTACAGCTCAATTATACTCATTTTGATAAACAACATACGAACATAAAGAAGGATTCATGTTAACTCAATTGATACAATTAACCAAAAGGAATAAGAAATTTGTTCGATAAAAAATGAAATGCTTCTTTGTTCATGTATTACAAAACATATAAATCGCAATAATTATCACTACTAATCAAACATCTATCTGTTAATCTCTTTTAAAAAAAACATAAAATCACAAGAACTAATCAAAAATATTCTCAATTAAGTTGCAAACAATTCAATCCCCTTGAATTTTCCTCTATAAATCACATTTACACGACATTTTAACCTAAAAATCCAACGCTTACATTTCTCGGAGTCCGGTTTTCGTTTTTTCTTTTCAATGCTCAAAAACACAATTATATTTTTCAAAACTTCTAACAAACGAAGAACGAAAAACAATAATTGTTATCAAACATTTCTATTTCCGTAAAACCCAGAAAGAAAAAATAAAAAAGAGACGAGAAATATGAACATGACCAAACGATCTCTTAAATAACAATTTTTCATGCGTGCATCACATCGTACTACGAAGACAAGGTTGGCGACGTTGCTCCGCTCTCGTTCGATCTCAGTTCTTTCGAACTGCTATCATGGCTAGATTTCTTACCACCTTGTGGGTTATTTCCCTTAACAACCACTGCACCAAAATGCACACGTCGTTTGCCATCACCGGGCGTATCACAATCCGGCGATTCAACTTGAGGAAGATTGGCTACAATTCCGCCACTGTTATTGGCAGCGGACGGCGGCCGGTTGCTGCTCGAGGAGTGTTTCAAGGCGGCGTTGGACTGCAATCTGATGGGTTTGAGGCAATGATACAAATAAACCAAAAACCAAAATATCCATGGAGTCGATACCAAGATGATCCCGACGACGGAGTACCAATCTTGAGACTCCGATTCCGGGACAAAGAGGTAGAGGCAGAGGAGGAGGCCGCCGGCGACGACGCAGAGGAACATCAAACCGGAGATGATCAGAATTGTTGCATCCCCTTTTCTTTCTTCCATGAAATGCGATTGATATGTTATGGGGAGCTGTTTATTCCATGGATTCAGACATTCATTTTGCTTTCTTTTGGCAAACAAATCCAATGGAAGGAAGGGTTTCAAACCTTACAAAGTTGGTTTGTTGGTATGTTATAATGACTTAACCAATTTAGGTATCGACGTTCGGGGGACGATACAATAGAGAGAAAAACAAGGGGAGAAAAATAGGACCCAAATTTGTACTTTGCTATTAGTAGAGGTATTAATAAACCGTCCCGTCTCATCCGAGATAATTATTCAATATGATCATCACCTTCTAAACCGAGGTATTTATTTTTTAATTAATGTGATTAATGATTTTTTGAGAGCGAACAATGCATTCAGGTGTAGATGCATTTTAAAACCTTAAGTGGAAGGTGTAGATGCCTAAAGAAGATAATATATGGTTGCTGGTTATAATATATGGTTACTGTGGGTTTGAGTTGTTATAAATAGTATTAAAGCTAGTGGACCTGAGTTGTTATAAATAGTATTAAAGCTAGTGGACCGTGTACTAGCGTGGATGCTGGCCGGTTATAATATATGGTTACTATGGGTTTGAGTTGTGCTGGCCGGTTATAATATATGGTTGCTGTGGGTTTGAGTTGTTATAAATAGTATTAAAGCTAGTGGACGGTGTACTAGCGTGGATGCTGGCCAGTTATAATATATGGTTACTGTGGGTTTGAGTTGTTATACATAGTATTAAAGCTAGTGGACGGTGTACTAGCGTGGATGCTGGCCCCAAAAGCGGTGGATTGTGAGATCCCAAGGCCCCAATGCGGTGGATTGTGAAATTCCATGTGGGTAAGTGTGATCGCACGTCCGGGAGACAGAAACAAACATTTCTCTAGTAAATGCATTTTAAAAATTTGAAGGAAAATTCCAGTAGACTTGAGCTCTTACAATGAGTCTATATGTCCATTCTTTTCAACTCAATCTAAGCATGCATCCTAGTCATTACTATATTGTTCTATACCTTAACTAATTAAATTATGCTAAAGTCAACACATTCAATTTTATACCGATGAAGTTCAAGAAACTCCGACAGTTTTATATGAAATGAATTATAAAATTAAATCAAAACTAGTGAATCACACTTAAGTAGACAACAAAAACAAGTAAACATCTGACTAACATCATTCTTTACATATTAAAATCAAACTAAAGGTGCATAAAGAAGATGGATGATTTTAATACTGAATCAACCATGGCAAGCCAAGCAGGCAAGGAACCTGCGAGCAAAAGACTTGGGGGGCTTCTTGGTGGTATTAGAAGAAGGCTGAAGAACTTTCATCACCTCATCACCTCCATTTTCCATGGCTTTCTCACACTCTTTTACGAAACTTTTCAGTGCTTTTTCACAGTATGAAGCTCCCTCGACAACTCTCATCTTCTCTACTACCTTTTCCAGATTTGTTTCCTTCTTCTCATCTCCTTTCAGCACTGCTGCTAACTTTACCAACTCCTCCTGAAACTCGCTCAGTCGTCTCGTCTCGTTTGCCTCGACGTCTCGTAATTTCACCGGATCCTTTAGCTTCACTGTTGTAGTAGTCAGGGTAATATTGGTAGTTGTATTAGGGAGACTTATATTGACCGTGAATAAGTTTAGATAACCATATTAAGAATTGAACGAACTCCAATCATGGATATGATTATGGATATTAAGAATTGAAACAACAATCAACAAAGAGAAATCAAGTCATGATGTTAAGGAACTGCGACTCTCCACAATGGTATGATATTGCCCACTTTGAGTATAAACTCTCATGGGTTTGTTTTTGGTTTCCACCACAAAACCTCATATCAATGGATATGTATTCCTTAGTTATAAACTCATGATCATTTCCTAAATTAGCTAAGGTGGGATTCTCTATCGACAATCCTCTCCTCAAACAAAGTACACTATAGAGCCTCTCCTGAGGTCTATGGAGCCCTCAAACAACCTCCCCTTAATCGAGATTCGACTCCTTCTCTGGAATCCTCGAACAAAGTACATCATTTGTTCGATACTTGAGTTACTTTTAACTACACCTTCGAAGCTCACAATTTCTTTGTTCTACATTTGAGAATTCTATTGACATGGTTAAGTTAAGGACACGACTCTAATACCATGTTAAGAACCACGACTCTCAACAATGATATGATATTGTTCACTTTGAGTACAAGTTTGCTTTTGGTTTTCCTAAAATACTCCATACATATGTAACCCCATGATCATTCAATGTGGAGGAAACGTAAGTAGAATTATGGATATTAAGAATTGATCGAACAATCAAGAAAGAGAAATCAGACCTGGACAATCAGTTCTTGGGCTGTGTCGATTAAGAACAATCTCAAAAGTGCCGGCCCATTCGTCGCGCTTCGTCAAGAATTGCTCGAGACCAAAAATCTTCTTCACCGTCGCAGGAATTGACGAATGCTCGAACTCCGATGACGGATCTGACCCCAACGGCCTGTGCAACACTGCATGTCACGTACTATCTCCGTCATTAATTAGGAATACAAAAAAAAACACCAAAAATCCTATAAAATAACAGAACCAGGAATCAATCAAAATTTCAGAAAGCAAAAGATTACCTGTTCCGGGTTGAATCCAAGGAGAGACAAAAACCGTCGGAACCCTAACACCGAGGCGATCGAACATGAAATTGTAGGGAGGAGGACCGACGCGGCCGTCGGGATTAGGGACTCCGACGAGCGGCGGGGGGACGTGGTCGAAGAAACCTCCATGCTCATCGTAGGTGATCAAGAACAGGATCTGGTTCCACTGTGGACTGGATCGCAAAGCTTCGTAGACTTCTTTGATGAGTTTTTGGCCTTCTGCAACGTCGTGAGAAGGATGATCGTCGTTTCCAGGTAATGATGCTAAATCGAAGAATCTCTGTTCTATCACTACGTAGTTTGGGAGCTTTCCTTCTTCACAGTGTCTCTTGAAATCGATCCCAAAGGGATGGAAATTCTTTATGTATTTCAATTTCCTTAGATTCCTAACAAAGAAAATCAGATCAATTTATTTTGTTGAAATTATTCTATAATTGATTCATACCTTGATTTCCATCGATCCAAAATTTAGCAATCGTGACCCAAATAACACAAAAATTGGTGATACAAATAACTCAAACTCAAAGGTTAAATATTCTAGATATTCTTAATCCTAGATTTATTTGGATTGTAATTCTATTTTCGAGTTAGTTGAATTGATTTGGTTGATCCGACCAAAAAATGTCAACCCACGCTTTGATCCAAATTTTCAATTTTATTAAAAACTCAACCCAACCTTAACAAATAAAATATATATATATTAATAAAATTATGGGGGTAAAGTTGTCCAATACTAACTTTTTTTTCTTCCCCAATATATTGCATCAAATACAGTAATGATAGTGATATGTATATATATATATATATAATTTCAAATATTTTTATAGACATTACGTCCAAACTACTTCTCAAGAAAAGATAAAAATAAGTAATTAAAAACAACAATAATTTGAAAAAAATATCAGAATAAAGAACGATTGAACGTACCGGTAGAACAGAGTAGACGGAAGATGCTGGTAGTAAATCCCGAAACTGAAGCCTTCTTCTTCCAACGATTCGAAGATCGTCTTCTGCGGAAGTCCTCCGATCAATTGCTTCATATCGTTACTACTCAGTCCAAACGACGTCGCCGAGTGCACAAACAGCCGGCACCGACGCGAACCACCGGTCACACACTCCGAACTCCATCACCAACTCTTTGAACACCGGCACCGCCTCCGGCTTGAATCAGTTCATCACTGTTGCCGACATTCCTTTTTCGATCCGCTCTGCGTTCTGTGCGAAGCCTCGCATCGTCGCTGGCGGAAGAGGATCTTTCGATTGAGAGGCGTCGGACCACGGCTCGGCGAAAATCTGCTCGTATATGTCTTGGATTGAGTGGCCGGGATCAGGATCGACGTAGGCGGAGGCGTTTCCGAAGAAAATAGAAGGCGAATTTGGATCGGAGGTGGAGACAGGGTTCGAGAATCGGTTTTCATTTGTGACGCCGTCGATTTCTGGATTTAGAGACTTCATCCAGCCGAGCATGTGATCGAAGGATCGATTCTCTTGTACTAGAATGACGATCGTCTTTATCGGACTTGCGGTGGATTTACCATCGCCGGCGGCGGTGGCGTTGATAGCCGGAGACATTTTGAGGAGAGAGAGAAATTGGAAAGGGAAATTTTAGAGAGAGAGAGGAAGAATGACGAAGGGAAATAAAAGTATTAAAGGTTTAAAAAGATATTTAGTAATAAATTATAGTTTAATATATATATCATATTTAATATTTTATTATAACGATATTTGCTTTTTATTTATTATTATTTTTATATCCTTATAATTTATATATTTATTTAATTATAAATAAGATAACTTTCACACGGTCAATATTAACCTTAGGAATTTTGTGTTTTGAAATAGGTGTTGAAAGGGAGGTTATGACTTATAAGAAATCATACCAATCTTTTCTGTATTTTCTTATAATTAATATTTTTTAAAAAATTACTTTTAATTACAAAATTATTTCAAACATATAAATTTACTAATTTAAAAATTAAGAAAACTATTTTCATCTCCAATATTTTTTATATTTTGAGTTCATCAAAGTAACTTCCAGTAAATATTCACCTCTTTAAATTTTACCTCAAAGTTATAAAAGATTATATTGTAATTGAAGTCCCTTTTAAAATTATATTATATTATTGTTTAAGAAATATTATCAAATTTATTAAAAGAATTACATTTTTTCTAAAAATTGAAATATTTATTTATTATTATTATTATTATTATTATTATTATTATTTATTCCTTCTAAAATTTATTGTGATTTCTGTTTTCTGGATTCACCTTTCATTTTCAATTTTTATTTTTTAGATTTTTTTTTTATTATTTGTTATTTTCGATTTTCCTATATTATATAGATATATATATATAAAAATTTTAAAAGAAAAACATTGTATTAATTTATTCTATTCTATTAATTTTCAAATATTTTTATTCAATCTACTTCGAGATTCTAATAGGCTTATTTGTCAACGTTGATGTGAACGACGCGACTCTAAGTGATAAAAATATTACCTATTATAACAAATTTCGACTTTACGTCGATAGTAAAAAAAGATATTACTTGTATAACGAGTCTCATGGAACTCTTACTTATAAAGTAGATTCTCTTTAAAATAGGAACTATCAATTACATTTTTAATTATATATTTTTCACGTTTTAAGCTAATCAAAATTAATTTTTTTAAAATATCAATTATATTTATATATTTTTTTTTCTAATTTTTAATCCCTTGAATTATAAATCATTATTTTTTTTATATTTATCCTTTGTAGATTCTTTTATTTTCCATATTATTTGATGGGATTCTCTCCTTTTATTTTTAAGTTTTACTTTTTCTTATTCCAATTTCTTTTTTATTTCTATTCTTTTTTTGGATTCCATGTTATTGAATAATAATTAAATTAAAACATTGAATTTTGAGTTTCATAAAATTATTATATATATATAATTCTTATTTGTATATTTTTTTTAATTTTAGGAGTAAACGTGTCATTTTATTGAATAAAAACAATAAAATTATTTACAATTCGAGGAGTAAAATATATTCGAACATTATATCATTATTTTATCATTTAATTGAAACGTTTTACAACAGTAAAAACTTTATTATAAAAAAGACGTCATATAAATAATAAGTATAAATGATAACTAGAAATTTAAAATCAACCGAAGTTCATTCGTAGCAATTAAAATTTTTTCGTTCTAAAAAAAACCCTCAAAATTATATTAGAAATTAGCTTATAATTTAATAAAAAATTAATTAAAGTATACTAGTCTAATTTAAAAAAATAAAAAGTGTGAGTATATGATTCTATTGAATTTATTTGGTGGGTTTAGTAAAGTTGTCCTTTTTATTTTTTTTATTTTTTATTTGTTTTTGCAAAAAGTAAAGTGGCTAATTATTTTCATTTCAAGGACCAATTTGCAAATATTTTAATTTTTTAAAAATTATTTATATTTTTAAATATTTGCATTTTTGTACTTTTATTTGTAAAATTTGTATAATAATGGTAAATTATATTATTTTTTAAAAATATTATTGTTTTTTTTTAATCCGTCTTTTTGAATATTTTTTATTTATTTTAAATTTTAAGATATTTTCTAGATTTTTCTAAAAAAAAGTTATATAAGTATTTTTTATCTAATTAAACTATTTTAATTTCATGATTAAATAGAGAGTATATTTAATTATTAATACACAAGAGTACAAATTAACAAGATGCTGTTTTTATTTAATATGATTTGAATATTAAATAATTATGATTAGCATTCATTACGAACCTACCTATTTAATAATTATAAAGTATTTCAATTTTAAACTTTTCAATGCTCATCTATAAATGCAATAATACACCTATGAGGCTATAATAATAAATATTATTTATGAACTTATAATAGTCATTGGAAATTAGAATTTTTTCCTTCAAATAAAAATAGGTTAAAATATAAATTTAATTACTAAATATTTTTAAATTAAATGATATTGTAAAATAATAATTATATAAAATTTATATTAGTTTTGCAACGTCTTCAAATACAATAATATTTTAAATTTAGTAGTTGATTATCATTAAAATTAACTGTGAGTTTTGGAAATTAACAGAAAGCACAAATCAGAATCGTCCAAACCGACAATCTTGATTTTGGAAAGGAAAAAAAGAAAAGAAATGAAAAATGGATGGAGCCTGGGAGATGTAACGTACCTCCAGTACTGTGTTCTTCAGAAATTTTGCTGCAGTTTTTTGCAGTTGATGAACACAGAATCGATTCAACAACGTTTCTTCGGAGATCTTGGTGAGATGATTTTTCTGTGTTGAAACTTTTGATTCTGAAAAAATTTGACGTTAATTTGGTGAATTCGGGTTCTTCCCTTTTGTATACCTTGTGAACGAGAAAATTCCAGATGAAATCGACATTCTCAGTACGCCGTTTTTGTTTCTGGATTTTTCTGTTTCTTTGTTGTTGCCGTTTGAGGGACCGATTCCGGCTGCCATGGATGAATCTAGAGCTTCAATTTCTTCGTCTTCTTCGTGGTTGATGCTCAATACATCCGCAACAGAGAGATTCTCGCCTGGACATGGAGAGGAGTGATGATCTTCTGAAACTGACCTAATCGAATGGATCGATTCTTCTCTTCTCTCTGTTCTGCCGTCTCCTTGATCGAAACTTCTCGGATTCGGATTTTCTTGTTCTTGATTAGTTGAATCGCTTACGATTTCAACTACGACGGATTCCTGGCTTACGTTTGCGGATAAATCTTGGACGACGACCACAGCGGCGTCGCTGCTGTGGCGGTAACCTAGCGCCGTCACGGGCGGTGGTGGAGTCTCCTGAGGAGGAGGATTCGTTGAAGCGATATTGCTGCGACAGAGAGGGCAACTCGAATTGGATTTCAGCCAAGTATCAATACAGGGGAGATGAAAAGCGTGACTACATTTGGGCAACAATCGCAAACTCTCATTCTCTTGAAATTCACTCAAACAAACAGAGCAATCGCTTCCTTCGATCAATCCTTCGCCCTTCTTGAACTTGTAAACCGAGATCGATTTAATCAGCGCCTCATCCAATCCAGATCCCGCACTAGACCTCCGCGTTTCGTTAATCGCTCGATTCGTCTCGAAACTCTCCTCCGGTCCTCCGCCTCCGCCGTCGCTAACACTCCGTCGGCAATATTTCGAGACGATCGCGTAGTAAGTGACGAGAACAAACGCGCTCGCTAAGATCCCGATCACTGCGACTATAAGTGGCGAGAAGAACGTACTGGAATCGTCGCTATCGTCGAGGCCGAAGAACGGCGGAGGCGGCGGGAACAAGAAGGCGCACCACTGTGGACAGAAGGCGGTGCAAATTTGTTGAGAACAGTCCTTGAAGTTGAACGGATTGAACGGCGGAGAGGGATCCGAGATTCCGATGGAGTCCATGTGAAGCGGAATCTGTAGAGGAAGAAGATGTTTCGAAGTCGTGAGTCGCAGGGAAGTGGTCGAGATTCAGCCGGACGGCGGCGGTGGTGGGCAATTTATTGAGGGCTAATATTTCTCGAGGGGCGGAAAAAAGCTACGGCCGAGGTTCGGGAAACAGACAAGTCTCTTGCCTTCTGTTCCCAATTTTTTCTTTCTTTTTCTCCCGTCGTTCTTTTTCCTTTTTCTTTTTCTTTTTCTTTTTCTTTTTTACATTCTCTCATATATATATATATATATTTACTTATTTATTTTTATTTTTTTTATTAGTACTTAGGGCTCTTATGGCTCGACATTCACCTGTATTTCTTAAGACAGAATTATGTTGTCCACTTGTCTTGAATTTTACAAACTCACACGAGTCCTTTCATAACACAATATTTACTTATCTTAACCCCACATATTAACACGAGTTTTGAAAACGTTTTGTTTTCATTCATATTCTTAAATCACTGTAATTCAAATATCATCTCAATTTATTCTGTCACAAAGTTTCATCAAACTTAATAAAATATTAAAATTTTGTCCAAATTCTAAAAATAGAAATAAGTTACTAAATTTGTAATATCTATATATATATATATAACAAAATTCTAAAGTTTCTACATTTGTAATATATAGAAATAAGTTTTTATAATTTGGTTTATTTTATGTATATAACAAAATTTAAAAAATATATATAAGTGAGATTAAACGAGATTTTATTATCCTTAAATTAAAAAAAATAATAATAATGATGTTATTTGGTTTATTTTACTTTTTGGGCTTTATTTTATTTTGAGTTTGTGTACTTTCATTTGTCCATCAAGTTTAGTTGAAAATTTTGGTTGTACTTTTCAAGTGGTCCTAAACTATATTTGTTTTATTTCATTCTCAAATTATTAATTTTTTTTTCTTCATAAATTGCTTTTTATTTATTTTATATTATAGTTAGTTGTACATTTAATAAAGTGGTCTAAATAATTTTTCTTATTTCAATTTTTCAAAATTGATTTTGAAAGATTTATAAAAAATTTAAAATAATATTATAACTTTTAAAATAAAATACGTGCTTTCGAAACTAATGACAAAATATATATTCCCTACCTAATGTTATTTAAGCAATTGTTATTTTTCTCTTCCTTGCTTCTGTAACGTATTTTTTAAAAAATCTCTCTTTCGAAAATCTCTCATTGTCCTCGTTTTCTAAAACTTTCTCTTAAAACCGAGGCCAGGGGCTCGAGTATACGTCGTTTGGCTGTAGGCGACGCAAGAACGAATTGGCTTAGCTCACTTGTCGTTGGAAAGTGAGTGTCACACAATCGTAAGTTCGCTACCCATCAAGATTGTGACAAGTTATATATATATATAGTTTTTTTTTTTTTTTTTTTTTTTTTA